GTGTCTGGTTCAATTACTTACCCCATATATGTTTAGTATATGTATATATTATCTACATGTACCTTGTGTCTGGTTCAATTACTTACCATATATGTTTAGTATATGTATATATTATCTACATGTACCTTGTGTCTGGTTCAATTACTTACCATATATGTTTAGTATATGTATATATTATCTACATGTACCTTGTGTCTGGTTCAATTACTTACCATATATGTATATATTATCTACATGTACCTTGTGTCTGGTTCAATTACTTACCATGTATGTTTAGTATATGTATATATTATCTACATGTACCTTGTGTCTGGTTCAATTACTTACCATATATGTTTAGTTTATGTATATATTATCTACATGTACCTTGTGTCTGGTTCAATTACTTACCATATATGTTTAGTATATGTATATATTATCTACATGTACCTTGTGTCTGGTTCAATTACTTACCATATATGTTTAGTTTATGTATATATTATCTACATGTACCTTGTGTCTGGTTCAATTACTTACCATATATGTTTAGTATATGTATATATTATCTACATGTACCTTGTGTCTGGTTCAATTACTTACCATATATGTTTAGTTTATGTATATATTATCTACATGTACCTTGTGTCAGGTTCAATTACTTACCATATATGTTTAGTTTATGTATATATTATCTACATGTACCTTGTGTCCGGTTCAATTACTTACCATATATGTTTAGTATATGAATACATTATTTACATGCAAGAATTTGGTGCACCTGTTTATGTATACTATTTTTAGTCACTCATGTCTTTCTTTTCAGTGAATTGAATGCTGATTTATCTTCACCAGATGTGGATGGAGTTTATGAAACTAATGTACCCCCAGATTTCCGCTGTTTAGTTCAACTTGGATGCATTGCAACTGTGAATAGACATCATGCCCGAATGTTCACTGGAAAGGTAAATAATTTCCTTTGTTTTATGAGCAGCTGTGATATCTGGAGTCTCCTATTTTTTTAGTTCTGGTATTCAAATTTATATCCTGGGATAACTTTTGATCCATGTTATGCTTTGACACACAGTAACACCTGTGATCACTATAGATTTTGACAATGAAACTAATACATTTACACATAGGTTATTACCGATTGACTTATTATCATGCCTCATGAGATTACATGCAGTATTGCTATACAGTTAAACAAATATCATCACTTCTCAATACCATATATTATCTCAAAGAACCAACTATCATTTTGCAGGATTCAGACACGTTTGACTTGGATCATCTTGAGTTTAAGACTATGGCGCAGTATTCTTACTTAAACCCAGGAAGTGTCAAAAGAATATACTTCTATCAAAATGTCTCGTAAGTACTACATTGTATATTTGTTTATTCAAATCACTTGCATGTCAGATGACAGGTTGTGGGTGGGTGTTTATGTTCCATGTCAGATCACAGGTTGTAGGTGGCAATTCATGTATATATTTATATCTCACATATATCTCCTTCAGTAACAACAAGATGATGTTAGGACTGTTCTTCCCAACCAGTAAGAAAGTGAGTGTATTTGTCGTAGATACTGTGAGAACCAATCAAATGCCAAACTTATCAGCTATGTACCAAGCAGAAAGAAATGCCATGTAAGTTATTTTTCTTCCATGATCATTGGACCCAAGTTTAAATTTCACCTGGACTAAAACTAAACTAAAGTAAACTAAAATATTTGATGAGTATACAAACTCAATTTTCAACTGATTTTCAGAATTTGATTTACTAATATATGTGACTTTAAGAGAATCTTGGTTGAGATCCGTAAGCGTGTGTGTTCAACCAGGTCTTATTGACACTGGAACAGCACATTAAATTGCTATATAATGCCTTAGTCCCCGCTGGATGTAGTCTGAAACAGGGATTTATGTTTTGCATTCAGTTTGTCCGTCGTCAGTTCTCAGAAAGGCCTGGACATATTTTCTTCAAAGCTGGTACAAAGACAAGTCATAATGAAAGACATGTGCACATAGATTTATATTTGATTTGGTTGACTTTTGACCGACTGGTGGCCATTTTTGTCCCAAAAAACAACAAAAATCAACCGTTTCTTGGACATGCCTTCACCAATATTATTCATTGACATCAGTCCTGGTGAGTTACTGATGCACATCATTATTTTTTGTGATTCGATTCAAAATGGCGGACTGATGGCCATTTTTTCTTTCTTTATGAGTGTACTGTTCATTTTACAGTCTGAAATGATTTTACAGATTGGGTTTTAATTTGGTACATACATGTGGATATCGCTTTGTTTTATTTTGTTGACCTTCAACTGACAGCCATTATTTGTCCCAAAAATCAAGATTTGGACATGTCATTAACAGTTTCTGGAGCATGCCTTTTCTCCAAACTGACAATTTCATTCAAACTTAGTCTTTATACCTGTTTCATGCACATTTGTAGTTAATATGCTAAATACTATCCCAATATCCTAGTATTTACACATAATCTGACTATGCTTTTCATTGTTTGACAATGACCTGTTCCTCCTATTACGCACAGGCATATACTGTCTTAAGATAACTGACATAATGACTGGTCTGTCTTATATTGTAGGGTGACTAGAGGTGATATTGATGAGGATTTCCTTCCTCCGTCTGATCATACATTTGAAATCCGAGTAGAGAAAGATGTCAGACAAGTGAGTTCCAATCATTTCACTGTTTTAAAACTAAACCGTTTTTGACTCTCATATTCAGCACAATTGAGTTTTTACATTTTGTGCATTTGAATATTTTGCAGATAATGTGAACTCAAAAATAGAAATGTCCTAAAAGTGGGGGGGGGGGGGGGGGGGGCTTAGCAGGGCATGGGCGCTATCACGGTCGAGTACGATAACATGTATGGCCATAGCTTCTTCTGAGGGAAATACTTTATACAATTTTGATCAGTAACGTGGTTTGGCTGCAATCTTATATTTCTCCCCCAAATTTCGAACAGTTTGGGCATTTTGTTTCTCATGAATGCTTCAACTGATATAACTCATATAACAGGTATAATGTATATATGTATATAATGTTTGATCAGAGCTTCTTACGAAAAAATTATTTTGATCAGTCACATCTTGGATTGAAATTAAACGTGATGTGACCATTTTTAGCTCCGCTGTCGACTTTGTCGAGTGGAGCTTATCATATGAGTGATTGTCCGTCGTCCGCGTCAATGTTTTACTTTTTTGACTTCTTCTTGAAAACTACAAGCCTGAATGCTTTGATACTTGGTGTATATGTACCTTGGGTAGACCTCTCTCAGATTTGTTCATTTCATGATCATATCTTCAATTCTCTAATTTTGGTGAATATTTTTGTCATTTTTGGTAAAAGTGATATTTTCGACTTCTCGTTAAAAACCGCAAGTTCGACCTCTCTCAGATTTGTTTATTTTGTGATATCTTCAATTCTCTAATTTTGGTGAATATTTTTGGTAAAAAGTGATATTTTCGACTTCTTGTTAAAAACCAATAGTTCAATTGCTTTGATATTACATATATAGATACTATATGTAGACCTTTCTCAGATTTGTTCATTTCGTGATGATATCTTCAATTCTCTAATTTTGGTGAATATTTTTGTCATTTTTGGTAAAAAGTGATATTTTCGACTTCTTGTTAAAAACTGTAAGTTCGATTGCTTTGATACTATAACTATTGTTCATTTTCTAATGATGTCTTCAGTTCTTTAATTGAAATGTGCATGCTAACAGCGGAGCTATCTCAACCGATAGGCTGCTTGTTATCCCTTTCTGAGGGCCTGGAAACTCTGATTGTTTTATTGTAGCATTATTACTATATATTACTACATTTTTTGTGTGTGACCTTCACAGCCATATTGGAAAATCGAAAAATTACAGAAAATGTTTTTCTTCTTCTTCAGAACCAATACATAACACTGTAATTCGTTTACTAGCTTCTATGTATAAAGGTCATTAAAGTTTGCAAAACCCATTGTCACATGGTTTGACCTCTATTTGAATTTATTCCAAACAGGAAGTAGTTTCTCACTGATGCTACAGTTATCTGATTGATTTGAAATTTGTTATGTTACATCTCCACACTGGAAAAAAAATGAAGAGTCATGTGGTTTAGATGCCAGTTTGGATCTCCAGCAAAAAATTTACAAAACGTTCAGCACAAGTGCTTAAACTATCAACTTCATTTTCTGTACATTACATTGATATCGGAAGCTTTTTGTGTGAAAAATAGGATGTCTATTCCTTCAGACAGAGCTTAAATTTTGTTATCTTGCCCTACAGGTTTACAGAGCAATAAACCATTTACTGATCTCGTACAAGGATGAAAAAAGAGGAGCTACGTACATTGCTATTCAGTCATCGTATGGTGAGTATTCTGTCAGATGTTATCATAGCCATGCTGCTTGAATGCAGTTAATAGTAGGACCATCTTATTATGCAGTGTAAATATACATAACATAACAAAACCACTATCAATTACTTTTCAGATAATGCTGATATCGTGAGTAAGATGTCATCTTTTGATGATTTTCCCCTGGTGCGTGTTCATGTTACTGACCCTGAATCACTGTATAGTGTGCTTGACTGGCAGAGACAAGGATCACGAAGACTTATACAGCATTATATGAATGTTGATTACATCGTAGCTGTAAGTAGTGGGCTTATTGGTAAGGTCTTGTACAGATTGATGTGGACTTGTTGGTAAGGTCTTGTGTAGGATGATGTGGACTTGCTGGTATGGTCTT